ATGCAGCCAAGTGACAAACGTGCACATATTCTAGATAATCAAACTCGTGAAATACGCGTAACTTTACGAAATATCTCCCCTACTGCGCCCGAGCCCGCTTGCAAGGTGGGTGGGGTAGGAGTGCGTGCGTAGGTGTTGTTTAAGGCAGGAGAACATTACCGAAAGAGACCAGGCAAACTAGAATTGCATTTCTGACTTATTCGCCCTCATCAGCCAGCCCTACCCAACCCCAAGTGGGGACCACCCATCAATGTCAATATTCCCGATCGAGACTGGCCAGACAACGAGCCCAGAGCTCCATGGGTTGGAGAAGTGAAGTTATAGTCAACAGATTGCAGGTTCCGCCTTCGGGTACCGCAAAGCCAGCGTCCGGTTCGGCTGACTGATGATGGCTAATAAGCCCGAAACGACCGTTCCAGTCTCCCGAGCCTTTGTCGGCCATGTCAGTCTGCCTGTACTAATAGCCGCTGTGCGGCTACTGGCAGTTGTCTTGTCATTGGATCAAGGATGGTGGGCAGGACAGAGTTTGGTAGATGCTCTGCAAGTTTGTCACACACTGTAGAAAAGAGTTCTGCCTAAGTCTTCGCTAATGCACCCACTCCATGGAGCATACAATGGGCGTGTTGTTTGTCGTTATTGTCTTTGCTAGAATGAAGGAACATACTTTTCATTTGCGACTATTTCCTGCCACGTACTCTTCCACGAGTCTGTAACTGACCCCTCCCCCCCAACCAATAGCGAACACTGATAGCGACCATTTCATTTCACCGCTCACCGCGGCTCCCCTGCACCTACGCATGTTAGCACCATTTAACCCGCTCATTTGCTTCGCCTAAACGATTTGGTGGTAGAAAATCGTGACGTCGCCTCTAAATCATGCACTTTTAAGAGGCCTGTTCTTTTTGTTCCCAGCTGTTTCTTACGCCTTCTACCACATCGCTGCGATGGTGCCTAGAGCCCATGGACTTCCTCATCCATATATCGATAAAAATTCGCGGTGAGCGCAGTTAACTGAAGTGTTTCCATTATGAGGGTTAAAAAATATGCACCAACGCCTGTTTTAATGCTTTTTCGTCCACGGAAGTTACTGAAGAGGCTGTTAAAATATACTTAATGTGTTGCGCATATCTAGGGGCACTGGCGGAAGCGCGAAAGCCACTTTAGCCTAATTTCGCCCCTTAGCGTAAGCTTTGACCTAACTTTACACTTTCATATGTGGTTCAAAGCTAATAAATTCCCGTTGGTGTTATATTTTTTAGTGCCTTAAGTCACAATGCACAAAATAAACAATTCAACACTAAGATGTTGCTTACAATAGCCCAAAAAAGGCCTTCGCACGTGATTGAGCGTCAGAGTATGCACTTTTCAATACATATGCGGTAGACGACTTATAACGCATAAATATCTCATGTAGGCCACATTTGGTCCCCCTTGCACGGGTAATTTTGCAACCGCTTGTAAAATAGCATCCATTGGAAATGCTACTTTAGTATTGCACATCTGTAAAATGATATTTTTAAATATTTTTTATAGGCAAAGTCATATTTTCAAAAAATCACTGGTTTAAAGTCATTCTCTGTCTTTGTTATGTGGTCAACGCATCCTTCG